CACCATCAGGGGTACTCACCGTCGGAGCTCACATCCACAATCACCACCACAACCAACACTAAACACTGATGAGGTGGTGCCGGAGCAGAAAAAGAGTTGTACCGCCCTCTTACCCCATCCAATAGACGGAATTCCGGCGAGGGGTAACAGTGGTACAAAAAAAAAACAGAGTAGAGAGATCACTCTCTGTTCGCCGCTGCCGTCGTGGGTTGGCCACCACTGCCGCAGGTTGCTGGAAATCCACCATCCCTGCCGCTAAAAGCTACCCTTGTTGCCGCAGGTCTTGAGGTCTGCCACCACACCAAAGCCATCTGCAAAGAGAGGAGCGGCTAGACCGCAGTCCACATCTAGCACCGGGAGCTGAAATCGTCATCGCCGCCAAATCCAGTGAATTCAGCCGCAGTCATCGCAGGAGCCAGCCACTTCTGTTTCTGCTGCTGGAGCCTACATCTTGAAGATCATTGCTACATTCATCGTCCCTGTCGCTATCTCTAAAGATCCATCCGCCCCTGCAGGGATCAGCTGTCGGGTCTGCCGTGCTTGTTTGATTATATCCCCACGCATCTCCCTTGGAAGGGAGGAAGAGGACAACATGAAGCTTAATTAATGGAGCTAGCTGTCCACCACTCTCAATAATTCATTTTGAGGATCAAGATGGGTTCTCAAACAAAGAGAAAAAGCCATGCGTTGTAATCCAGGTGGCCCTACCAGTGGTCATCTAACAAAAGCAAAGGATGATAAATTGTTCAAGCAAATACAGAAGATATGCGCACTCACATGGGATTATGGCTGGAGTCAAAGATTAGTAAGGCGGAAATTGAGATCCTCAAACTCATGGTTGTTGCCCGGTCGGACCGAGGTGATAATGAGTTGGAGATTGATCCAAGGAAGACTGGGACACAGGCCCGGACCTGGCACGCTGGTTACTACACCAGTCTTGCTCAGTATAAAATAAAAAAATAATAAACCCGGAAGAAGGGCCCGGAAGAGGGTATGCCTGCAAGAGGGCTGGACCTGGAAGAAGGTTCGAACCGTACTTACACGGGCCCATGAGGTTTGACCGGTATCGGGGAATCAGCCGGTGCCGTCAAGCTGATTGGGGACTAAAAGATGCCCATTAAAAGAAATAGAAGAGGGGTCGTCCACCGTGGCGCATCCTATTTCCCCCTTCTCAGGGAAGACTTGAACGGGGGGTGAGCTAAGGCCTTCCCGGGATAGTAAATATCAAAGGGCCAATAAAAGATCTTAATCACCCGGAAGAGGGGGCCCTGGAAGAAGGGTGCATTTTGGGCCTTGGAGAGAGCTCGAAACCATCCGACATGGTTAATTCTCCAATGTTGATCTGGCCCGGCCAGCAGCATTATCTTATTGGAAGACTGAGACACAGGTCTGGCCTGGCACGCTGGTTACTACACCGGTCTTGCTCAGTATAATAAAGAAAATATGTGACCCAGTCGAACTGGTACACTGGTCTCACACCAGTCTTACACATATTTTCCAATAAGCCTGAGCCCAATCGAATTGGGTACACCGATTGCACATCGGTTTCAGCAAAAAAATGAGCAAAGCTCATATCGGGGACGCCCGATTCATTTAAGCCCTCTATTCGAGGCACTTTGATCGAAGATGGTCTCCGCGAGACATGAAGATATTTACATCAGTCAGCCGGGCTAACGCTGATCTTCAACAAAGCTACTGCATCGGATTCAATTCTTATTAACTAAAGTCAATGTCGTCTGTATACTAATTTCGTCATGCATCGTATACTTAGTTCGTACTAACATCGGTCTCAACGAAATANAAAAAAAAATGTTGTACATATTATTTTTACAGGAAAACCTTCTGATTCAAGAAATTGGAGAACTAATGAAGACTCGGAGGACTAGCAACAATATCAACCGGTCAAGAATCCAAAGTACGAAGATTGAAGATAGCACTCGGAGGACTTGTTTACTTTTTCAAGTTGATGATTCTCACAACTTAAAAAAGTGGAGGACTTATTGATGGGAAATAATACGTGGCACGGCCCACATTTCCCAATTATTTTACGAAGAACAGTCAAACCGGGCCTGTTTAATAAAATAGAGGAATAAGAGAATATTCCTCCGAAGATGCTCCCCCCTCCTATAAAAGGAGGGGTGCCCCCAATGTGAAGGGGAGGCCAAATCACTTTCTCCCCTGCCCACTATACTTTCTCTCTCTAGCATTTTATAGTTTTTGTTCTTCAATAAGCTTTTAAGCTTCCATTAATGGCTTCCGAGCCTGATTCTTGTACCGTGTACACACCCCCGATGTCAATAAAAATCCCCCGTTGGCAAGGTACCGCCAAAAAAGGCCCGTGGTTTTCTCTCGATTTGGGTTTCAACGTAAAAATCCCCGTGTTTATATTTTGGTGTATTTTTAGACTAGTTTATCGTTTTTGTCGGGCTAAAAACGATATACCGGTCGATAATTTACACCATCAGTACTGTCATTGTTGTCACCATAGTGCCATGGTGTCATTGTCAAGAGAAAATGTTTTCAATACAATATCAACCAAAGCCGCAATGTCAAAGACGATAATGCATACTGACAAATATGTCATTGCATAATGCCAAACATATTATTGCGTAATGCCAAACATGTTAATATAAAATGTCAAATAGAAAGTGAAATGTCAAGATTGTCAACATACAATGTCAAGTTTCTTATCACTATCACAAAAAAATTGCTGAAATTGGGAGCAAAATTTAAACACAACTAGTAGAATAACAATCAAATAAAAAATTAAAAGAAAATAAATCAAATACAAAAATGAAAAGAAAAAATCAAACCAAAATCAATGCCTAATGAAGATACAATTTTTTGGAGAAAAAAAGGGATGAATGCAATAAGTTAGAGTATTTCTTACTTATACGAATATACGATGCAGTCTCAATTATAGAGCATTTGAAAGCTAATTAAAAAATAAAATTATAGTAATCATGACTGGCGGCAATCTCAACTCTGATGAATATAGGGGGTGTGATAGATCTGCAAGGGGGGAGAAATAGAGGCGACGCTCCACGGTGGAACTACATGGGACACTTTGTGATAGATTTGCAAAGGGGGAAGCTGGTGCGGCGGCACTGCAAGGAGTGGGGGCGATAGTGATGTACTGTATTTGGGGTGGATTTGACGGAGGCAACGCTTTCAAAATGGTAAGGGTGGTGGCAAAAAATGAGAGAGAGGGAAGAGAGAGGCATGGTGGGGTGACCATGAGGAGATGAAGTAGAGAGAGATGAGATTAATTAAAGATTTAATATTATTCATGAGTTTTCTTTATTACTCAATTAAATACTCTTATTTAGAGGTGTTTATGTTTAGACTCCTATTTTAAGGATATGACATATCTTTTATTCCTATTTAGGGGATTTTCTTAAAAGTTATTACCATACAACATTAAGAAAAAATATAGAAAAAACACAATTTTTTTACACTTATGGATAAAGTACTGGATGAAATGTCTCCACTTCCAGTCATTACAACAAAATGTAAAGACCTCCGTTGTTTTCTTGAAAATAGAAGGACCTGAGAACTATTTTGACAAAACTCTCATAACTAATTTTTACTAAGTCAAGTGATAAATACAAAACGAACTTTACAATTAAATTTTGTTTAACTCTCAAAATATTTTAGATGAAGACTGCCCAACTAACACTTAAAGTAATAGTTCAAATGCAAAATTATATATTCATGACAGTAGTCCAAGAGACATCACATAAACCAATTTGTTTTCAAACACTGAAAATTCTCGTCCCCCTCTAAAAAGTTTAACAATACTCTATTCCAGAATTTTCTGCGTGAGATATATTCCTTTCCTTTCGAAATCTTCAAGGTCACTATCACTATGTTTGAATCAAGGAATTTAGAAGAAAAAAGAAAGAAAATGACATTATCTCAATTTCCTCACCAAAAGAAAGAAATTCGGTTTTCCCACCTCTTAGTATTTGCCTTCTCATCTTCTTTTCCCTTCACTTCTCTCAAACCAAACATTAAAACTTATTTTTCACTTCATTTTCTTTTCTTTTTCCTTCCAAATTCTTTGAACCAAACACAGCATGTTTCTTTTTTCTTATAAATGGATCAAAACTGCATATAAGTTATTTTTTACTTATAAATAAGTAAATGCCACATTTCTCTATGCTTATAAGCTCAGTTATAAGCTGCTTATAAGCCAGAAAAAATAAATAAGTCTTACTTAAGTATTTTTAAGCCAATTTTTTCATTTCTCTGTTTTGACTAGATTACTTACAAAACCATCTCTCACCTATTATTAGTATCTCCAAATGGCTTATAGATCATTTTAGCCATTTTATCTACACACTTTTTTTACTTATAAGAAGCTTATAAGTTAAAAACTGCTTATATATAATAATTCAATAAGCACAAGCACAGAAAAGCACCACTTCAGTTTGCATTGAGGTGAGATTCAAATCTATTTTCAACTGGGCGCATATAATTTATATAGTTCCATAAGAACTCTTGCATGCCCTTCCTCAAACACAGTACAGGGTAGCTCAATGTTAAGAATTTTACTTACCCTGCATTTTCTCAAACACAGTGTTCTACTCTACAGTACACAAGAACGCCATTTATGCCTTTTGGTACACAAAAACACTAAAAGACATGACTAGGAATTCATTCTATTATGGCCTCCTATGAATATGCGAGGATGATGAAGTTAGATCCCCACAAACACCTGTTGGGTGTTTATACGAACTATCAACCTTTAGTTTTCCTTCTGCTGCGCCAGAGAAGCCGAATAGGTGTGCCTGAGAACCCGGCATTTGATCTCAGCTGCTTTTCCATGTACCGTCGGTATGTCTCAGGGAAAAGTTTTGCATCATTCACGAAGAAGACAAACGTAGGTGGCCTAATAGCAGCCTGTAAGGTTGTCAAACAAAAAAAAAACAGTTAGTAGCTAGTAAACCTTTTTCTTTAAAAACAAATTACTAGCACATCTACTAGGCTATTTCAAACTTGAAAGAGAGATTTGCCAGTCATAAGATGAAATACTAGGTCCTTTTAGATAAGTACCTGAGTGCAATAATATACACGACCCCTCTTCCCACCTCGGGTCCTTGGAGGTGATTTGAGGGCCACGGCTTCCCATATTACTTGATTCAATATTGACGTGGTTAATCTTCTTGATCTTTCTTTTTCAACGATGTTAGCAGTAGAAATGATTCTGGATCAAATCAAGTAATAAAAGTTCAGTAGGTGAAGGGACTACGGAAAGAATTAACCAAATATTCATATTATAGTTTCATTTGCATAAATTGCTAATTGGCCATAAATATCTAAATCCTCAAAATTCAGTTCTTATTCTGAAGCATCCTTTTAAAAAAAAGTTTACCACAATGAAACTAAAAAGTGCAACCACAAAGGTCCCTTAGAAAAAATGTAGTATCTACATTACGTGAATAAACCAAATAAATGCAAAAAATGATCAAACAATTGCCAATTATGGCCACTAGAAAACCATCGAAATAATAAGCTTCAGAAAAAATATTCAAGTAGAATGGAAAATAAAGCCACCATAAGCTTCACTAGAAGTGGTCCTATATATATAAACATATAGTGTTGCACACACACAAAACTTCCGTACGCCAACAACTGTTTATCTACAACACCAAACATATCAAGTGCATCCCACTGGATAGGGATTGGGGACAGTGAGCAGTATCCATTGACCTGCAATGCCAATGATGTTGAATGAAGGAAAGTGAGCAGAGGGTAAAAGGGACCACCCAATGCACACCTGACTACAGGGCCAAGATTTCAACCCCAAAAATCACTTGCTCTCGAACCCTACTAGGGATCTAATACCATAATCCCATGACTGCAGACCCTTATTGGAGATCCCCATATCCTCATAATTTAAGGCTTCCATGTCTAGACTCAACTACTGCTTCCGACTTCCGTGTTTTTATGACTTGCAACTCACCCTCGTCCCCTCAATCAAAATGCTCTTCCTCTTCAAGCCACGGGCAAGAGGGGGGGGGGGTTCTTAATCTATCTATCTATCTCAGGGATCTCTTCAGATCCCGAACAAAATACAAGATGGCCAAGCAGAAAGAGTTAAAATAATCTTATCAAGAAAACATACTTATCGACACTATGCTCTCCTATTGCTGTTGAATATACAATTGGTGCCCAACCAAGAAGACGAAGCTTCTCCCTAACATCTTGCTCATAGTAGGTTGCAGTGGACTGGTTTTTGTTGGGAATTGTGTCCCACTTATTCACAACAATGACGCAACCTTTTCCTTCCTTCTCAATCCTCTCTGCAATCTTCCAATCCTTAATAATAGCCACGAAAACAATGAACTCACAAAATTATGCATCCAAAGAAAAGAGAGGGAAAACATAGTTTTTTATGCAACAAAATTCATGGAAACAAAGAGTTCACAAAATAATCCAATCGAGCCGAAGAAAAGAAAACAAAATAAAAGAAGTGCTTTATGCTTGTGACATCCCTCTAGGTTATAAGAGTCACCAACAACATCATAAAGTCACAAATGACAACTCTAGAGTCTAGGTAGTTTTGACAGTGCTCTCGGGTGATTGTGACAGCTACAACATAAGATACTTAGGGGGGGCGTATTCAATTAGGATTTTATTGGATTTTCTTAGATTTCAAAAAGTTAGTAGATTTGAAAAATTTATAGAATACATCTGGAATTTGGTTGATTCTTTGTAGAATCTATGTAGAGTTTGAACAATTTGTAAAATCCATGTAGAGTTTGAAAAATATGTAGAATCCATATAAAATTCAAACATCACTCCTCACTTCTACGAAGGATTTATTTGTAGATATAATGGATACATTTTGATAATGATTAAGGTGGAAAAAACACACATCAGGCCTAATATTTCTCCATTTATTTTTTATTCTTATCAAAGAAGAAGAAAAAGAAGAACTTTGAAGCTAATGACGTCACCCATGGATATTCCTCATGTTGTTGAGGTGTCTGCCCTTGTCGGCACCTCTATTTCTTCCGCCAGGATTATCAGGTGTCCAGATTCATAATCGCCTTCACTCTTCTCGGCAGAAAACACAAACATGAAAAGGCAAAACCAGAGAGAATCGCAGATGAATGGATCTACGTGCAAGGAAATCCAAAGATGCCCACGAAAGAAAGGAGACAATCAGACTTGGATTTTAAATCTTTGGTTGGGAGTAGGGATTTGTTTATAGACTTTTTATTATAATTTCTACTTTCAAATCCATTAAAATCCATGTAGAATACAAATCTTTAAAAATTCATGAAGTGTTGAATATCATAAGATTTAGATAGAATTTTTAAAATCCAAATTCAATACATTTAGATTTTAAATAACTTCTGAATTGAATACACTCAGATTTTAAACAATTTTTTAAAATCTGAATTGAATTCCCATAGAATTTTATAATCCAAAAAAATCTTTTAAACTGCATGTTCAATACACTCCCCTTAATCAACAATTAAAACACCAAACTACCAACTCTTTTTTATAATGCTTACTTCAAATCTTTTTTACTTTTCCAATTTTTTTCCTCATTCCAACTCCTTAAGTTTCTTCGAACTCCTAGATTATTTTAACTTTTTAGTTTCTTCTACTCCTTGCACATTTTTCCAACTCTTACCAGTTTCCTCTAACTCCAATTTTTTTACAACTCCTTAAAATTTCATTCAACTCCTTCCAGTTTCTTCCAACATCCAACTATATTTTTTCAAGCCAAAAGGACAGAGCCAACAAATAACTGAATAATTCAAATTAAGAAACATCATACTGAGTAACCCTAAACCCCACTGTTCATACTGAGTGACCCTCAACCCCGCTGTTCAAACAACTTTTCACCTCTCATAAAGTAAACAATTATAGATAATAAATAAACAATGATCTACCTGCTCAGTTATGCAAGCCATAGCCTCAATTACAAGAGCCACAACATCTGCACGCCGAATTGCACGAAATGCTTGATTTACTGATAAAGCTTCTGTTATGCTTCCAGATGAAGCCACAGCTCCCTTTTTCCTTATTCCTGCAGTATCAATGAGGCAAAATTTCTGCAGAAAAAAAGTCCAATCATATTTAAATTATCTTTTAATTTAATTGAAACCAAACCAACAAGGTCAGATGTATCGACAGTATTTTCTGTGAGCGCTGCTAAATATTTACCAGCATGTCTAGAAGCAAATTGATACATGCCTAGTGCATGCTTTCTTTTTAGAACTTCATTATCAGAAAATTGAAGAATCAGATTGCTTGAGAAGGTGGGGAACTCGAAACAAGATGATGCTACAATAAAAATACAATAACAATTCTGCAAAAAGAGTTAATCAATGACTCTTCCCTCCTTGTCTTTTCTCAAAAAAACTGGTTTTTTATTAGAAAGATGCCAATAAGTTGCAATTGGAAAGCACCTGAACTGTGTCTAACTAAATGATCTGTCAGTACTCAATCAAATTCCTAAGTTCTAACCTAATCCTTTCGAAGTATTTCATTTGGATGCACAAACTATATCACAAAAATGCTCTTGCCTCGTAACAGTACAAAAGTACGCTATACTAAACTACACGAAAACAGAAACTTTTCAAAATTTCCCACAAGAATCAATTCAATTCTCCAGACAGATCTATGTTGCTAAATAACAGCTTGTATGAGACTGATATGGGACACCACTATTTAGTATTTTTACCTTACTATTTTTAATATGCTTGTAAGTAATAAGTAATTGGGCTAATGGACTTGTATTAGTGGTGGGCTCATAAATAAGGCTGGAAGATATGACTTGGAGAATAAGAAAATACATTTCAATCTTTTTCTAAACTCTTTTCTCTCTCTTTCGCTTGTAACAACTTCACGAGATTCTCCTTCTTCTCCTTGAGAAATCTCCTTGAGTTGTTATCATTGGTATCAGAGCTGGTTTCTGATCGAAATCTAGCTGTGAGCCTGTGACGAGACGAAAGAGGGCACAAATGGCGATGTTTGAGGAAGCTCCGAAGGAATCAATCGAGCAACAAAAGACATTCACCATTCAAATGGAGTGGCAGAATTAGAGGATCGAGGAACAACAGAATTTGTTCGGACAGATGATGGAACAAATCAAGACGATGGTGCATGGAGAGTTGTCTTCATCCTTGAGAAACAATCAGCATCAGGCAGGAAGAACCGGCGATCAGAATCTCAGATAGCTACATTTCAACCCAAAGGTAGAATTTCCTCAATTTGATGGATCTAATGTGCAGATTTGGATTAAGAAGTTTGTGAGATATTTTATGTTGTGTCCAATTCCGGATGCTAAGAAAGTTGATCTTGCTTTGCTATACATGACTGGAAAAGCTGGGATATGGTATAGTAGTTATGCTATGGGGAGAAACCACATTATATGGGAGGATTTTGTGGCAGATGTGAGTGCCAGGTTTAAGGATGAGATGGGATCGAAAATTGTGGAAGAATTTAATAAGTTACAACAAACAGGTAGTCTTAAGGGTCTGCGTTATTATTGTGAGTTGTGACAAACCTTTTGAGAAAGGTCATAAATGCTCGAGCAAAGGGATTCAACTGTTTTTGGTTGAAGTTAATGGAGAAGATGGGGCAGAGGATGAATCAATGGGTTGGGACACAGACTGTCAGATGGAGTTTCCCAATCCTTTCATCTCAGCAAATGCCATCACTGGTAATCAAGGATTTCAAACAATGAGAGTTACAGGATATTATGGTTGGAAACCCATGCATATTCTCATTGACTCTGGAAGCACACACAACTTTTTGGACATTTCTTTGGCTAAGAAATTAGGTTGCAAGCTGGAGGCTATTGCAACCAAGTCAGTCATAGTGGCTGATGGGAACAAGCTCTAGTCTGAGTATGTGTGCAACAGGTTTGAGTGGACTTTGCACAGAGCTACATTCATTTCAGTATGACATGTTACTTATACCTATGGGTGGATGTGATGTGGTGCTAGGTGTTCAATAGTTAAGGGTTTTAGGACCTGTGAACTGAGATTTCAGTAAATTGGAAATGGAGTTCTAATACAAAGGTAACAGACATGTCCTGAGAGGAATGATGCAACATGTCTCTATAATAGAATCTGGGAAGGTTGCAAAAGCAATGAGCACCTCTAACCAATTGTGTCTATTACAGGTGGTGTTCACCAATCAGGAAGATAAGTATTTTTCAATGAATACTGAAACTCCTGAGACACCTTCAACCGTTCAAGCATTGCTGGAGTATAAGGACATGTTCTTGGAACCAAAGCAGCTGCCTCCCTCAAGGGTTGTTTTTTATCACACCATACCCCTGCTTCCTACTGCTACTCCAATTAACATAAGGCCCTATAGGTATCCTATCAAACAAAAGGATATCATTGAGCAGCTGGTGGCGGGCATGGAAAGTAGGGGAATAATACAGAATAGTTGCAGTCCCTATGCCTCACCAGTATTCTCTGTTGGGAAGAACGATAGTAGCTGGAGGATTTGTGTGGATTATAGGGAACTCAACAAACCGACCATCAAGGACAAATTTCCAATACCAGTGGTAGATGATTTGATTGATGAGTTAGCAGGGGCCATTGTTTTCAGCAAAATTGATTTAAGGGCTGGATATCACCAATAAAAGTAAGGGCCCAAGATGTTTATAAAACTGCATTCAAGACTCACAATGGACATTACGAGTTCTTGGTAATGCCATTTGGACTTACAAATGCTCCAGCCACTTTCCAAGGTTTGATGAATCAGGTCTTCAAAATGCATCTCCGGAAATTTTTCTTGGTATTTTTTTATGACATCCTAGTATATAGTCCTACATGGGAAACTCATCATCACCATTTGAAAGAGGTGTTCAACACCATGAAGCAGAACCACCTTTTAGCCAAAAGGAGCAAATGTGCATTTGGAGTTTTAAAGGTGGAATACCTTGGACATTACATATCAGGACAGGGAGTGTCCACAGACCCTACTAAGGTAAAGGTTGTGAAGGAGTGGCCAACTCCAAACAACACTAAAGAGCTAAAGAGCTTCCTAGGTCTTGCGACCTATTATAGGAAATTTGTCCAACACTACGCTCTTATCAGTAAGCCCTTGACAGACTTGCCTAAAAAGGGGCTCTATGAGTGGACAGAAGCCGCTGCACAGGCTTTTCACAAGCTGAAGGAGGCATTATGTTCTGCACCAGTTTTGGCAATCCTGGTTATCTAAACTTATTGGGTACTCCTATGAGATTCAATATAAGCAAGGCAAAGAGAATTTGGCTGCTGATGCTCTCTCTAAGCAGACTGGAACTGAGATTCTATGCTTGGACCTTTCCAATATAGAATCCTCCTTGCTTGAAACTATAAAAAACAGTTGGTCCTTGAGTCCCAAACTGCAAGAGTACATCCACCAATTACAACAAGGAAAGCAAGTAGCACACTACACTTGGGGGCAGGATCACTTAAAGAGGAAGGGAAGATTGGTAGTAGGACCTGATGAGGCTCTTAAGACTAAACTACTGCAATGGGGTCACTCCTCACCTACAGCAGGGCATTCTGGCAGAGAAGCAACTCTAAGGAAACTGAAGAACATGTTTTATTGGAAGGGAATGAACAAGGATGTGTCTCATTTTGTGAGGTGTTTGGCTTGCCAGGCTTGCGAGCATGATAATGCTGCTTACCCTGGACTATTACAACCACTACAGATACCTAGTGAAGTATGGAAGGATGTGTCCATGGAATTCATAAGGGGGTTGCAAAAGTGAATGGGCAAGGATGTTATATTTGTGGTGGTAGATAGGATGAGTAAGTATGCTCATCTCATGGTGTTGTCTCATCCCTACACAGCGTTGGAAGTGGCCCAATGTTACTTAGACAATGTGTTCAAGTTACATAATATGCCTAACACCGTAGTAAGTGACAGGGATGCAGTTTTTCTGAGCCAATTCTGGCAGGCATTATTCTCACTTCAAGGTGTAGATCTGATGTGGCCATCTTCTTACCACCCTCAAACTGATGGGCAGAATGAGGTGGTTAAAAGATGCCTTGAGACTTATCTGCGATGCATGTGCTCTAGCAATCCAAAGGACTGGTGTAAGTGGATTCCATTGGCAGAGTGGTGGTACAACACTACCTTCCACTCATCCACCCAGATGACTCCCTATGAAGCAGTACATTGTCAACCTCCCCCCATCCACCTACCCTACATTCTGGGAGAAACTATGGTCGAAGCAGTTGACAGATCTTTACAAAAGAGGGAAGAAATGATCAAACTATTGAAATTTCAGCTGCAAAGGGCACAAAATAGAATGCAATAGACGGCCAACAAACACAGATCTGATAGGCAATTTGAGTTGGGAGACTAGGTGGGGCTCAAGCTCCAACCCTACAGGTAATGCAGCGTGCAGCAGAGGTTTAATGAGAAGCAGGGACCAAAGTATTTTGGACACTTTCAGATTATCTCTAAGGTGGGAAAGGTGGCCTACGAACTGCAATTGCCTCCTGAAGTGAAGGTTCACTCAGTTTTTCATGTCTCTCAACTTAAGGCATCCCGAGGAGACTTACCAGCCGTGCCTCACATTCCTTCTTGGTTCCATCGCTTGGATCCGCAAGAACACCCTCAACCTAAAGTTATCCTCCACAGAAGAATGCAGAAAAGAGGTTGCCAGGGGAAAGTGCAACTATTGGTCAAATGGCAAGGAGTCCCTGAGGAAGATGCTACGTGGGAATGGTCAGATGCTTTTACTCAGAAATTTCCCGGGTTCCAGCTTTGAGGACAAAGCTTGCCCTTTGGGGAGGAATGATACGGGACACCACTACTTAATATTTTTACCTTACTATTTTTACTATGCTTGTAAGTAATAAGTAATCTATACTTTATTTAAAAGCAGGGGAATTCTTTGACCAGTTTTCCCGCCCATGGACGTGTTGACTTTTTATTATATATGGAGAGGTTTAGATATATTTTAGGGAAAAATGTTTTATATGGAATTTAATAAATAAATAAACATAAATATTATTATTAATCACGGTCAAATTTCTAGGGGTGGTCTAGATTTATTTTAGGAAAATTTGTTATAAATGGGCTTTAATAAATAAATATAAATATTTTTTATTAATCATTTTCAGAGTTTCTGGGGGTGGTGTATATTTACTTTAGAAAATTTTTTATAAATGGACTTTAATAAAGACGTGCTAGAACTTTTTATTATATATGGAGAGGTCTAGATTTATTTTAGGAAAATTTGTAATATGTGGACTTTATAATTTAATTAATAAATATATATAAATATTATTATTAATCACAGTCAAAATTTATAGGCGTGGTCTAGATTTATTTTCGGAAAGTTTAATATATATGTGCTTAAATAAATAAATATAAATATTTTTATTAGTCACGGTTAAAGTTTCTAGGGATGGTTAGATTTATTTTGGGAAAACTTGTTATATATGAATTTTAATAAATAAATTAATAAATATAAATATATGTATTAATCATGGTCCAAGGTTCTAGGAGGGAAATGCATAATATTATTCGTATTTTTATTTTTCATTATATATATTATTTTATTATATATGAAGATGTCTAGATTTATCTTAGGAAATTAAATATGGATTTTTTTTAAATAAAGAGCTTATTATATATGGAGACTAGCACCATCATTATTTAATTGCAGCGGGTGGTCTAAATTTATTTTAGGAAAAATTTGTTACATGTGGACTTTAATAAATAAATAAATAAATAAAGACAAATACTTTTATTTATCATGATCAAAGTTTCTAGGGGTGGTCTAGATTTATTTTAAGAAACTTTGTTGTGTATGGACTTTGATAATTAAATAAAAATAAACATTTTTATTAATCCCGGTCAAAGTTTCTAGGGATGGTCTAGATTTATTTTAGGAAAATTTTTTATATATGAATTTTAATAAATAAATAAATAAATATAAATATTTTTATTAATCAAGGTCAAAGGTTCTAGGAGGGAAATGAATAATATTATTTGTATTTTTATTTTTCATTACATATATGCTTTTTATTATATATTGAGAGGTCTAGATTAATCTTAGAAAAAAGTGAAATTTACATTAAATAGAACTAAAACATAAGTGAATTCCCAATGTAGGACTTAAACTTTTTTATTCCCTAAATAAGACTTCATAATGTCTAATGGTAGGAATAATGTTCAGTGATGGTCGACATTTACTTGAATAATGACCAATGGTCCTACATTGGGAAATAAAAACACATGGTCCTATATTGAAAAAGTATGTTTTAGTCCTATTTAGGTAAATTACCCTACAAAAAATTGTTATGTATGGACTTTTTATTATATAATGAGCTTATTATGAGGGTGTTTCTTTGTGCTGGTGCTTATTAGCTTATTGCTGATAAGTAGTTTTTAACTTTTAAACTACTTATAAGTCAATTATTCTTTTGTGGAAGTAAAATGACATAAATGATAAATAAATCATTTGTAAATATTCATAAATGATGGGTGACAAGCTTCTCTAAAATACATACATACATACATACATACGTACGTACGTACATACATACATACATACCTACGTACGTACGCACGCACGCATGCACCTAGGTCGGCAAATTTTGTCCGAACTTGTCCCAAGCCAATTTGGAATAGAAGGTATTGGGTTATTTAATGTAACTCGGCTAGGGCTATTTTTAAATTGGCCTTAGCTAGTTTTCGTGTAAATCTCTATATATAAACACTTGTTACACATGGAATCAAACCAAGTTGGTTACTCCCAAAGTTCTAAAGAATGGGACCAAGTTGGTTACTCCCGAATAAATATCAATTGCATGCTCCTTAAATCATCATAAGTTGTTGTATTTTGGTGTGGTTCAAATTGTGGTTGTGGACCAAAACGTGTCAACCGGACTTCTCAAAACGGATTAGATTTTGACTTGAGGTATTTCGTACTCCCAACAAAGGGTGGGTGTAAGGTCATAGGACTATATACCCTCAGGTGCTCCTATTTGTGAGTACATCACAAACTCATGAAAATAGAACAAGTACATCCCGAGACTATACAAGTTATGTGTTTGATATTGATTGAATCTAAACCATTAAAGGTTTGAATGGAAGAGAAAGGCAGTTGAGAGAGGTCACGTACTTACGTTGCCTCACCATGTGGACAAAGAGAGTGAAAAGACTCCAACACCTGAGTTTTGCAACGAGACTTTCTCTTTTGATAATGTATATAAATTTATCAATCACACTTGCTCACTTAATCTCTTTTTGTACAGTGTACTACGCAACCACCGTGACATCAAACTTGTGCAAGTGATATTTGTGATTGCCAATAACATTTATCCAGTACACGAGCTTTCATATGATTATGGGTATGAACTGAACATCAAAGACGCGGATGAACATATCAAAAGGCATTGCTACTGAAGCGCATATTCTAGGGTCAATATCTGTTGTGATTAAATCAACTCGATTATTGACTGCCATATTTTTGTTCCATCTGCATTACGAGGTAAGTTGATGTATTTGTATTGGGCTTTATAGACTCTTAGTTTATGCAGTCTTATAAGTTATATATCTATGACAGATTATATTGTTTTTTTCCCTATCTATCTATATCTTAAAATAAGTACTACCTCTGTCCTAGTATATTACATATTAGCATAATGAAATACAATTTTGAAAGTTATCAATACGATAAATCCAATAAAGTCATTTTTATGTTAAAATACATTACAATTTTATATAATTGAAGCTTAAAGTTTGTCCAGTTTGACTCAAAAAAATCAAACTAGACAAATACACTGGGACTGAGGAAGTATATACATTTGGATAGTGTGATCAAGCAAAAAGGGAAAACAAATGGTGTGATCAAGTATTTTTCCATTTCACTTCATCACATCATCTAAATGTGTATACCCTATTTTAAAAATAATAGAGGCAAGACAGAGGAAAAAGACTACACAATGTCATAGATACATATATGACCCTTTAACCTCTCATTTTGCCTTTTCTTCTAAAACTACAAAAACTAAGAGTTTAGAAAGGCCAATACAAAAACAACATGCCATGTAGTGCAGTTTGAACAAAAATATTACAGTCAATAATCGAGTTTATTTAATCAAGACAAATGCTGACTCTAATATACACACTTTTGGCATGCTGCTGCGCCACAATAATAGCCAAGCTTTTTTATCTGTCCATCCGCTCCGATGATGTTGTTCAGGTCATAATCATAATCATACGAAAGCTCTTGTAGTGGAGGAATGTGAAGAAATGTTATCAACAGACACAAGTATTTATGCAAGATTGATGTTATGGTGGTTGTGTAATACACATTGTACACAGAGATTAGGCTTGCAACTGTGATTGATGAACCATAACACATTACCATAAGAAAAACTATTGATGCAAAACTCAAGTGTTGAAGTTTTTTCATTGTCATTGTACAGATGGTCAAGCAACGTGACCTCTCTCAACCACCTCTCTCTTCCATCCTAAATTTTTATGGTTTGGATTTAATAAATGTCAAACAAATAACTTGTATCAGTTTTGAAATCTACTTGATCTATCTTCATGAGTTTGTCGATGTGCTCACAAACAAAAGCACCGGAGGGTATATAATCTTATGATCTTATACACATTCTTTGTTGGGAGTACGAAATACCTCAAATTGAAAGTTAAGCCTGCTTTGAGAAGCTCGGTTGACAAATTTTGGTCCACAACCACAAATTGGTGGGGGCATTACTTGACTTCTGACTGAAGACCGAAGATCCAGCTTTAAGTAAAGTAAGCTTTCTAAGCTTCATGCTTGCATGTGTTAAGCATATAGCCAATTTCTTCTTAGCGTTTAGCTACTGCGTATAAGCTTCATATTCCTAGCCATGACTTAGGAAAGACCTATCTATATGGTATCGCTGCAAGAGACAGAGCGCAAGACTTCCGGGTGTACAAAATTAGGAATACGCAAACTGGTGTCAATCGGGAAGCAGCAGCAGGACTGACTTCGCCTAATTCTCTTCTTTCCTAGCATACGCTCTACTGACTTATGCGGCTAACATAACGAGGAGGACGGTTTTGGAAAGATTGGCAATGGCTTCGTCAAGTGTGACAAGATTGATGCTTTTCGGGACCTATGATTGGTTACTGGAATAAAAAGGATATATGGCCGAGGGAATAGTAGTGGACAGTCTCGCCCCGCCTTGATAGGGTAGCAGACTTTAGAGTATAATTAGAGTATAAATAGTATAAGACGGCTTAAGTCCTCTTTCAATGCTTGAGGGAGCTCAGCCCCTTTGGTTCGGTAGTTCGAGATGAGACGCTACGGTCAGGCTCAGTCGATGAACTCGATTCGACAGGCTTGGTTTGTTCGGTATGCTTCTTTCTTCGCTCCGGTATGGGCTTCCTTTATCTATTTCCCAAAAGGAAGTCATAGGCTACAGGTAGCCCTTCCTCAGCAACAAGACGAGAAGGAGTAAGAATATAAAAAGCTTAGCGAAAAGGGGCTATAGAGGTACGACCAAAGGGAGTCCCTCGAAGAGGTACGACCAACGTACAGAGATTCGTTTCACTATGTGAAACTCATTTAGTTCAACGAAATGAGTTGAACTATGTTCAACGAATCTCTGTC